AAGATTTGCAAACCTGAAGAGGGAACACCAGTGATTAAGGGATCCTTTCTATCATGATGGTAATATGTATTTAAACAAGTTTAAGCGTAGGGTATTAGCTAGGATATAGTACAGCGGCCATTAGATAGTTGTTGGCATTAACCGAGCAGTAGTCGCATGTGCATGAAGCCATGAACGCAAAAGACAACTGACTGATCACTGCCCAAAATGAAAAGCTATAAAGCGATTTCCCCTCCGACGCAGGAATCTCCCCAGGCCCATCAGTTTACGACGCGCATTCCCCGCAGTCAATGCTGCTACTCCAAATTCAACGGGTAGTATGGGTACCCGTTATCCATCCCGTACAGGTAATGGGTACTCGTTAACCCGCATGGGTATGGGACATGGGATGGAGATTGCTCTCCGAATGGCATTGGGTACTCGTTTCAAACGGGACGGATATGTCGTCTCGTCCCGTTGCCCACCCCTAGTTCTCATCCTATCAATATGGATAACAAGACCTAGCTAACAAGAAAGATTCACGAGGTGGTTAGCAAGGTGAAAGAACTAAAGAAGCTAAGTATGCCATTGAGGGCATCAGGAGTGTGATCAGGACGTCATCATGATGGGAAGACAACCCTCTAGTCAAGAAAGCAATAAGACTTGGTGACCCTCGATTCAACACCAACCCAACTCGTGTTGAGGAAATCAAGATGACACCAACTAGTCACCATGGGACGAGGGGTCCTCAAAGCGGTGGGAGTACACACCAAGAATATGAAAGTTACCAACTAGTCGCCAATGCGGCGAGAGGACCCCGAGGCTGTTGGAGCAACCGGAAAGCTAGCAATTACTAGGTAAGTTACACCTGATGCTTATAAATAGGAGAAACAAAGACAAGAGACTGGTTCCCAAACCAACACTCTGCATGTAGCAATAGCCATAGTCTTTAGTTTGTAGCTCTCATTGAATGTTCATAGGAGTAAGTGTAATTTAACTAAGTTTTCTGAGCCATAAAAAACATCAAACACTGAAGTTCGAACTTTGTTTGAAAAAAAATCAACCATGATTATAATAATTTTTTCCATAAGTGAAAGGTGCAACCTATTAAAACCGAAACATAAGTTCTTAAGTTACTACTCTCCACGATACCTTGTTTAAATGAAGATAAATATTGTAAATAACTTGTGCCATAAGGATAATTATCCTTGGTTGTATTATTATTTGTAGTCATCTGATCTTCATGGCCGTATCAAATATTATGGGCAACCAACGCTAGGCTAATTGTGGGGAATCACATTCCTTCCTATTGGCAAGGATCAAACCCAAGTCAATTGGGGTCAGGTCAGGAGTCACAGCGGGAGAGTTCAAATAAATCGCCATGAAAGTCAAACAGTGATGTGTTGGTCAATTATGTTTGAGTCCTTCAGTTTGTATTTGTGTCGTTTGAGTCCATCCGAAAGTGAAGTAGTTGGCTATAGTGATAACAATTTAAACTCGTCTCGTCGAATATTATTCAATCATATTTGTGTAGGACATACTTGAAGTAGTGTAGGACGAGGTAAGGGGTACTCGATTTTTCTTAATATCTATTTCCAGGCCCCTCATCAGTGATTGCAAGGTTGGAAAAAATTTATAATGATTTCTTGTGGTATGGTGTCCTGGTGATTAAGAGAGTGCATTGGGTTTAATGGGATTTGGTGAAATCCCCTATGGTGAGAAGACGTTTGGGAGTTTTGGATCTTTAGGAAAATGGGCTTGGAGATGTGGGGTGGAGAGAGATGCTTGGTGGAGGAAAATGATTGTGCCAAAATGTGGGACAGGTGCTTCAGAGTGGAAACCTTGTTGGAACTTGGGTCCATATGGTTGCTCCTTATGGTGTACTATTGTCAACGAAAGCTCTTACTTTTGTAGAGTTTCTTATGGCGATCCAGGGAGAGGGGGAGGGGGGGGGAGGGCGGTTATGGAGTGTCATTTTGGCATGATATATGGATTCCTAGGAAACATTTGGTGAGAGAGTTCCCAAGGGTTGGAGTAGCTGCCCAACCCTTGGATGTTTTTTTGTTTCTGATTTGGTTTCTTTGGATGACAAGTCCTTTTGGGAGATCCCCCTTACAATTTCACTAAGAGGTGAGGCTGAAGCAGAACGAGTTCCTTTGATGCATTTATTGTCTTTACTTACACATAATTGGGCTTGTGCGGGCCCAACTCGTTTGGTTTGGCCTTTGGAGTGATTCTTTGTTTTTTCTGTGCATTCCTTCACAGCGCATCTCATCGATGATTCTTTTGAAGGTGATAACTCATTCCCCTACAAGCTCGTATGGATTTCTTCCATCCCATCGAAGATTTGCTGCTTTCTTTAGATGACCTCATTATAAAAAATTGCCAACGTTGACAACTTGAGAAGAAGAGAAATGATCATTACAAATTGGTGTCAATTGCTTAAAAGCAACGAGGAGTCCATTTCACACCTTATGTATACATGCTCCTTCTCCAGAATAATTTGGGATTTCTTCACGAAACCTTTAAAGTTGCATGGTCTTTTCCCCTCTCACGTTTGTCCTTTTCTCCATGTTTGCAGGGGATTGAGGTGCGATCCTAAGTTCAGAGATTGCATTAAAGTCTTGCCACATGCAGTGTGTTGGTCACTCCGGAGTGAACGAAACAATATGATTTTTAGAGATATTGAAACTTCTCCCATGTACGTGTGTGACAAGATCATCCAAATAGTTGGGAGGTGGCTTCGAGCTTTTATAATTCTTTTAGACGTCTACTTACAGTAATGGGTGAGGATTGGGGATGGTTGATGGTTTGTCTCTTGATTTTATCTCGATGTATAGTTGTTTTTGGGGTTTCAAGTGCATTTCCTTTGTTTTTGTTTTTCTTTCTATCAGTGATAGTTGTTTGTCACCAGTCTTGGTAGTTTCCATACTGGTTCTTATTTGTTTTCTTTGAGTTTTGGCGTTGCTTTGCCGATCTTTTCACATTTTTTTCTTACTTGTATAGGTGTTCGTTTTTTGTTGCACTTCTTCTTCTGTTAGTAATAAAGTTCATCATTCATAAAAAAAAATATTTTTCATTTCACATATTTGACTTATCTTAACTCAGATTTTCACCAATGATATTTTAAATAAGTGCAAGACTTCTTCTTTTTATTAACTTATTTTGAATTTAAGAACTATTTTCCCTTTATTTTATTGTAAAAAAATTAATATTGTTTTCAATCATATATAAGAATATGTTGATCTAACCCGACTCATACTAGCTTGTCTGTTAATCACTCTGATTGTGAGATGGGAATTGTTAATCACCCTGATATTGAAGTACCCGCTCCGTCCGCTCCATTGCCTTCACTGCTTAAGAATCAAGTCTAGGGTGTTGTTAACGGCGTACGTGATGCAGTCAAAATCGCGATTTTAAACTTAAAAGCTTGCGGTTTTACACTTTTAGATCACAAAAACGCTTTCGTTTCCATATAAAATCATTAGTAAATAAAACCGGATTACGCTTTAAAGCATGAAAGCTACCGCTTTTACGCTTCTAGTTCACCAAAACGTTTTACGCTTTTACGAATGAGTATTCTACTCATGAAATTAATTATAAAATGTATATTTTAAAGGCAAATCACCAAAAATATGATACATTTGAGATTAAAAGATACATACCAGATACTTGAATGCATTCTCAACTTTAATATAGTAATCTAATTCACCAGCTAGGCCCTTCCCAAATTCATTAGCATAGAGGGGAAGGTGTCTTATTGTTAAGATCTATGTTTTTAAACTTATTGTTAAGATGCTATGAATTGCATGTATTTATTAATTTATCTAAATTCTGTGCACTCATATTTACATAGCATATGTCGTACTTAACACATTTTTAGCTATTTTACAGTATACGTAAAAAACTTACGCTTTTACGCTTTGATTCTACACTTTACAATTTTATCCATTTTCCAATTCCAGATAGAATTGTGGTTTTTACGGTATTATGCAAGTCAAACGTGTGCGTTGAGATTAAGATTCCGGGGTAAGTATGACTGTATGAATTGTGGTTTTTACGGTATTATGCAAGTCAAACGTGTGCGTTGAGATTAAGATTCCGGGGTAAGTATGACTGTATGAGAATGATTTGTCATTAGTGGAGGCAAAATTAGAAGCTGAAGCTTTGTAGTTATTGTTGCATTGTCAATTTGCTCTCTTCACAGATTATTTTCTTTTTGCAACTTTGTAAATAGGGATGACCAAAATATTTATAATTACGTATATCGGTCCAAATTTAATTTGATTAAATGAATTTACAAACGAATTACTCGTGGATATGAATAAATCTGAATGCGTTACTGAAATGATAATAATATGTATATCCATTTGAATACGATAGAATTCGGTTGATAACCCAGGAACAATTATCTAAGTATAGTCTTTACAAAAAAAAATTTGATAACCCAGGAACAATCCCACACAACGCACCGCTTGAGCGAAGGCGGAGCGAGACCAAACTTGAGGTTCACTAGCTTGAGCCCTCGGGCTCTCCACTAAAATCCCCATAAGTGCCGCCAGGAACACCACCAAATAAAGGACCCCAAGGGGAGTCAAACTCAGGACCGCACACGTCTAGAATGAGGTCCAACGAGAGAGTTCATCAATTGGACTATGTGACATTTTTCAGCATTTACAAATTTAACTCTGCAAGGTTAGCAGTTAGTACATAATACCATAGCCTAAAACTCTATTAATTCAATATCTATATACCTTTTTGACTGATGGTATTTGGTATTCCAAATTTATTGGTTACCATAACACTCGCTAGTAGTTTTTGTTGAAAATAAGATGGTAGATTGTTTATAGTCATAAACACAAAAACTTTACGTTATATATCTGAATCCGACGACGAGATTACTTTTAGTCTCTTTGTTTCGCATTTCTTCCAGCCCTGTTGCATGCCGTTCGATGCATAGCCCAACACATTGATAAATTGCACCAACTTGCTCTTGGTCTTGGAGCAGGCAAAGCCAAGGATAAGGAAATAATCAGACTTTTCAACTAATTTCTATATCAAAATCAATTATCGTAAGACTTGCCAAACTTCTACCCTCTTGCTATAGGGATGGCCGACTTCCTTCTTTATCCTTCTCATCTGAAGCAAGGAATTTCGTGCTGATGCATGCTTGGATTTCTACATACACTGATGTACTGTTTCCATAGTTGTCAAGGATTCATTCTCCGCTGGCAGAGGTTGCAAAGTCCCCTCAATGAATCGATCATTTTGTGGCCGTGGCGGTTGGCTCACGATCAGACAGAATGTTGTCTACTTGTTCAAAATACGACCATCCTCTTCTACTCTGATCAGACTCGCTTTTGCTTTCCTGTTGACAATGATAAACAGCAGCAGGGTGGGGGGTCATGAAAATGTGGCTCAAACTATAACTGCAAGGGAAGAGAGATGGAGAAACAATGAAAAGTAGGAGTGCCCTTGAACTCAAGCTATAATAATAAGCAGAAGGAGAAGAAGAATCATTCTTAATTTACTCTGCAGTTGGAATTCAAATATCTACCTGACCATTATAATTCCATCTGTGGCGATTCTTAGCCTCTCATCGACACAGAGCTCAGTTGATGTGCCGAATGCTTTATCACCATCACTGTACATCAGCTGCAAAATTCAATTGCAAAAATGAGCTGGAAAACTTCGGAACCAATGAATTCAAAAAGTCATGGATCAAGATGTCAATTGTTCCATAAGAGAGAAAATGGTTTAACTGAGATCAACCTGCAAATTCTCCTTTCCAAGAGATATAAACCCATTAGACAGCACTCTTCTGTTCCTCAAGTGTGATACTCCGAGCATCTCTCCATTCTTTATAACCTAAGAGAAGACAAAGGTATAGCATAACTTTGTATCAGTCAAGGCACATTATCACAAATTCTCCACAAACGCAATAGAAAACTGAAACTACTAGAGCGAGCACAAGTCTTCTTCTATATCCAATTGAAAATTCAGTACAGAGAACAGGAATCCGTTTTTAAATCCATTCGGAAAAAGTGTAACCTAGACCACACATTTATCACGAGGTGCTTTCAGGGAAACTGGGATTTTTCCGTTCTAAACCACAGAGATGGAGGTGAAAGAAAAGAATTATAAGAACCTACGAGAAGAAGAAACCCTCACTGACGATAGCAGTGATAATCCGATGGTCTGACAAGATTTGTTAGATAGCTATAGAATGAAAAAATGGCCAAAATAGCTTCTAAGTTATCCAAGCCATAGTTTGAACTGCAACAATACTTTCCAAAGCGGTATTTTTCTTTTCCCACTTGCTGCCATTTAGAGAAAGGAATATCGCACATCATTGATATACCCTAAAGCAAGTAATATAGCTTCTAGTACCAGAGTGGATGGGTCGATTGGTGCGTTTCCATCCTTCCATGCAGCATCCAAATATGTCCTTAAGGACATGCCAACAAAGACCTAGAAAATGAGCGAGGTCTCAGAATTTCTGGGGAACGCATACTGACAGATTATAGGTAAGAAGTGAAACCATGAGAATTTACAAGTTTTCTGCCTGTCAAATCAGCGACAGCTTTTACCCTTCCCAGTCGACATATATTTGATGCAAATTGAGTAGTGATAACCCTTCCTTTAGCAGATGAAATGCGTCTCAACAATGAATCTGCTACAACGGTTTAGCTAGTTGTTGTTAGAAACGGAACAACAACAAGATGAGGATACCGAATCTGGAGCTGAGTCGCGGACTAGGTCGCTTTCTTTAAGACGTTCGCGGCACTGCCCTCGATGCGCACGGCAGACTATCAACCGGTCGTCTCCAGGATAAAACAGCTCCTCTGTGTACTCGCGGTTTTGTGCGAAAACCGGAGCTCTCTGAACACTCTCTCTATTGTGTTTATGCTCGTTGTGGTGTGTTTAGAGGGGCTGGGGAGGCGGCTATTTATAGGAACCGAACCCCTAGGAATATACCCTCTTGCTTGGGGAATAAGTCGGATTAATTAAGGAAGATAATTACTTCCTTAATTAAAACCGTCGGTTAGGATAAATCCTGCGGAGATTATCCTTCGAATATTCCTTTTCAATCGATTATCCCTTGGAATATTCCTTAGAATAACCGATTAATAATTAATTATTAAATAATTAATTTCGTTCGGAATTTCTCCAAAAAAATATGTATATAGTCTCAAGTGATCCATCCATCCAACCAACCGACCGACCGACCGGTCGGTCGGACGGCGCGCGCGTGGTGGTCCGTTAGGTCCTCCCTCTCCCACAAAAGTGGGTCACCCCAAGGGGCATGCCCTTAGGAGAGAGGCTCCTATCTTTATACTCATTTCACCAAGTAAAACTACCAATGTGGTAGTTTTTCCACTTGAGACTCTATAGCTTTCAAAGCTATTCATACACATTTCCAACAATCCCCCACTTGAATAGTTTTGAAACTATCTCTGAGCATTAACAGTTCCATAAGATCGGGCATAAGCTAAGGTATCGCGAAGATTTGAACCTTAGCGTAGTGGTTACACTTCCGATTTCATAAGGGTGACTCGTAGTCTTGAACCCTATCTCAGACAGTGTAGCACACCGGATCTTTTCATTGAGTTGTGTTCTCTTCTTAGCCCGTGCGTTTATGGCCATGCACGTTATCCTGGTTTAGTGAACGCTCTAGCAACTTTGTGCCTCTCAAAGTTCCATAGGGAGCGGCCCCACTCCCACATTCACATAGGTGAGTCTATCAGGAGTACCCCCAAAGTAAAGTACTCCACCCCACATAGGGTATAGATCTCATTAAGAGTTATTAACTCAACCTCCATTGCTTTGGGATTCATGCTTCCTTATGCATGAACTTTTCGCATACTACTCATGACTTGTTATTACCCATTGAACCCATTTCTTGGGATCTCCAGTCTATTGGGTCGGGTTACCATCACTTGTAGTCCGTGGTTCGGTAGGCATAAGTCCCATACCCTTGGCGGTATTCTGGACTTTCTCTCTAGGTAATCCTTTCGTCAAAGGATCAGCTAGATTCTGTTCGGATCTTATATGATCCACCCTCACTGCTCCTATCGTTAGGAGTTCTCTAACAGTACTGTGCTTACGACGAATCTGTCGTTTCTTTCCGTTATAGAACCGGTTCTCAACTTTAGCGATAGCTGCGGTACTATCACAATGTATCAATACCGGAGGGACCGGGCTTTCCCATAGGGGAATCTCTGACAACAATCCTCTCAACCAACTTGCTTCTTCACTAGCCGTTGCTAGTGCTATCATCTCTGATTCCATAGTTGATTGAGCTAGGATTGTTTGTTTCTTTGACTTCCAAGACACAGCTCCACCAACGATGTTAAAAACATATCCGCTGGTTGCCTTGGAGTCATCTGATAGGGTATTCCAATCCTCATCACTATACCCTTCTAGTACAGCGGGAAACCTTTGATAGTGTATACCAAGGTTTGCTGTTCTCTTGAGGTATCTCATGACCCTCTCTATAGCATTCCAATGCTCTCTACTAGGATAGCTGTTAAACCTGCCAAGCAATCCCACGACATATGCAATGTCTGGTCGAGTGTAATCCGCAGCATAACGGAGACTGCCAATGATGCTAGCATATTCTGTTTGTCTTACACTGTCTCCAGTGTTCTTGAATAGCTTTACACTAGCATCATACGGAGTACACGCAGGTTTACAGTCGAAATAGTTATACTTCTTCAAGATCTTCTCTATGTAACTAGATTGATCTAGAGAATAACCATTTGCTGTTCTAGTTATCTGGATTCCAAGCATAAACTTTGCTTCTCCCAGATCTTTCACCTCAAAGCTCTCTTTTAACATGGCTTTCGCTTCATTGACCACGTGAATATTTGTACCAAATATCAACATGTCATCTACATACAAACATATGATAGTGCAAGTGTTATTCTCTAACTTGCAGTAAATACACTTGTCACTTTCATTCACCTTAAAGCCATGTGAGAGAACGAGAGTGTCAAACTTTTCATGCCACTGTTTTGGAGCCTGTTTCAAACCATATAATGATTTGTCCAACTTACAGACTTTCGAGGCATGTTCAGGGATAACAAACCCTTCTGGTTGTTCCATATAGATTTCTTCATCTAGATCACCGTTCAAAAAAGCAGTCTTAACATCCATTTGGTGTACCACGAGATTGTTCAAGGCAGCAAGAGCAATCATGACACGAATGGATGTTATTCTAGATACTGGTGAATAGGTGTCGAAGAAATCTATATTCTCTCTCTGCCTGTAGCCCTTGACTACTAGGCGAGCTCGAAACCTTTCGATTGCACCATCAGGTTTCCGTTTCGTTTTTAGAACCCATTTATTACCTAAGACTTTGCAGCCAGGAGGTAAGTCTGTTAGATGCCAAGTCTTATTAGCCTCTAACGATTCCATTTCATCTATAACGGCCTCATTCCAAAAGTCTGCATCTATGGAAGTTAATGCTTCCTGCAAACTTTTTGGATCCTCTAGGGTGTATACTGTAGTAAAGTCATCACCAAAATCTTTAGAGATTCTAGCTCTTTTACTTCTTCTGAGTTCATCATCAGATCCAACACCCCCACTTGTTCCGTTATCTCTAATAGCGGGTAGTACATTACCCCCACTATTTCTCGTTTTAAATGGAAATCGTGTCTCAAAGAAATCAGCATCAATGGATTCTATTATAGTACGAGCATTCAAATCATAGAATCTATATGCCTTACTATTGACCGCATAGCCAACGAAGACACATTCATATGCTCGACTAGCCAACTTAACCCTCTTAGGATCCGGAATTCTTACGTAGGCCAAACAACCCCACGTTCTTAAATAGGACAGATTAGGTGGCTTATTCTTCAAGATCTCATAGGATGATTCTTTTCTATTTGTTTTTGGAAGACGATTTAGCACATAGCAAACCGTCAACAAAATATCACCCCACCAAGAAGAAGCAGCTCCAGAATTGAGCATAATAGCCACAACTAATTCTGTAAATGTCCTATTTTTCCGCTCAGCTTTACCATTCATTTCTGGTGAATATGGTGCCGTGGTTTCATGAATGATACCATGTGAGCTATAGAATTCCTTGAAGGGATTAGAGTCATACTCTGATCCTCTATCGCTCCTAAGTCTTTTTATCTTTCGATTGCACTGATTTTCGAATTCAACCACAAATACCTTGAACATGTCAAGGGCTTCACTTTTGTTTTTCATCAAATAAACAAAGCAATAATCAGAGCAATCATTTATGAAAGTGATAAAGTATCTCTTGCCAGACCTAGTTAACGTCCCATCTAGTTCACAAATATCAGAATGAATCAGATCTAAGGGTTCTGATTCTCTACTCACAGATTTATGGGGCGTTTTCGTTATTTTAGCTTGGCTACAGAAATCACATTTATCAAATTCATTCATTGAGAGTTTAGGGATATGTCCTAGCTTGCTTAAATTCTTCACAATTCGTGTGTTCACATGACAAAGACGAGCATGCCAAACATTCAAATCACACACCATGTAAACTGAAGAATTCATCTTATTAATTTCGACATTCAACTTGAACATCCCATTACATGCATATCCCTTTCCCACAAAACTCCCATTCTTAGTAAGAGTATACAAGTCTGCCCCAATAGATTGATTAAACCCAGCCTTATTAAGAAGATATCCCGAAACAAGATTCTTCCTTATCTCTGGAGTGTGCAACACATCTTTAAGCACCATCTTCTTCCCAAGGGTGAAGTTCAGCTCCACTTCACCAGAACCAGCAACCATAGTGGTGTGAGTAGTCCCCAACAGCACTTTCTTGTCAGCAGGTGCTTCTTCATATGTTTTAAACATAGCACGATTGTTGCATACATGCTTCGATGCACCTGTATCCAGCC